TTTGAGTTAGCTTGGAAAGGTTTCCTATGGATGGAGGGAGGGATCCTGTGAAATTGTTGCACTTAGCCATAATTGAGTTAGCTTGGAAAGGTTTCCTATGGAGGGAGGGAGGGATCCTGTGAAGTGGTTATTGTATAGAGACAATGTACTAAGCATGAAAAGGTTTCCAATGGAGGGAGGGAGGGATCCCTTGAGATTATTGCCATAGAGTTGAAGTTCTTGAAGCCTCGTCAGATTTTGAAGTTCAGCAGGAATAGGTCCTTGAAAGTAATTACGACTAAGGTTGAGGACTTGGAGGTTTTCCAGACTGGAAACCATTTGAATGGGGATTCCACCACTTACTTCATTTTCAGACAAATCAAGAAGTACCAAGTTTTTGCACTGGGAAACAAAGGCTGGGAAATCTACCAAAGCATTGCTATATAGGTAGAGGTGAGTAAGAGACTCCATACCTGTAAACCTTGACCAGTCAGTAGAGTTCAAATTGTTCCTACCAAGGTCTAAATGCCATACCTTTTGCAGATTACCCAGCTGATAAGGGATGGGGCCACTAAGATCATTTACACTTAGAGAAATGAAGCGAAGCTCAATGAGATTGCCAATCTCTTCAGGTACCGACCCCGTAAACCGATTGTCTCCCAAATCCAAGAAACTGAGTTTCGAAAGGGAGCCGATACTCTTCGGGATTTTCCCTTGTAAAAAATAGTTCATGCTGAGATTCAAGCCGGTCAAATGGGGCAACAAGAAGAAGTTCAATTGATTGAGAGTCCCTTCCAAATCAAAATTTGGGAGGTTAACCTCGACTACACTTCCGTCATCGTTGCATTTGATGCCAATCCAACTACAATGGCTGGTGGAGTTGTTGGTTTTAAGAAACCATGGAACCAAAGCGTGATTTTTCAGACTAGTTTTCCAGTTCAGCAATGCTTCAGCTTCTAAATCAACTGTTGACAAAACAGAGGATTGAATCGAAAGAGCTAAAATGAAGGGGTAGAAGAAGAAAAAAGATGGAGATCTCACCACCATTCCCATTTTCATGGCATGCAAAACTTCACGCAATTTGCTTGAGTAATTGCTTGAGATTGGGTTTGACATTTATAGAGTTTTGGTGGAGGAAGTGTGGACCACAGAATCACTCTCTCTCAACTAATATTTGCCACCGAGTGAAACTCCAATGGAATTGGGCAACATTTCATGCGGTAGTCTTTGGACTGTGGAATTTGGCAGTGAAAATGGATTCCGTATAAAAAGAGTAAAAAAATGTTAGCGATAATGTGTAAAAATAGCAGGAACTTTATACGTGTCATGATTATAAGTTTTTCATAGACAATGAATTTGATTGAAGAGTAGTAATATTTTTTATTTTTCTATTATTTAAACGAACGGCCACTACTTACACCAAATATCTCCTCTCTCTCTCTCTCTTTTAAGTTAATAATCTATCTCTCTTTCTTAGAGGCTCCCATCATCATTTGGTGAGAGATTTTGACAGCTGGAGTTGCTTTAGAAGTCTTGTTTTTCAAAAACTTAAAAAATAAATAAAGTAAAATACAAATCAAAATAGATGTTTATGGGGTGTGGATTTAAATGGGACCGTAAAATCATTGGATAAAGTTAAAAAAAAGAAAAAAAAGAGAAAAAAAATACGCTTTAAGGGCAGAGTCAAGCTAGGACCCATCCCATTTGGGAACTAATTCGGTCCTCATCAATTTCTTATCTAAATCGATGGCTCAGATCAAAAATGGCTCATAAATTTCTTATCTTTGTCCCACCGCTAGAGGGTCTCATCGTCATTTGGTGAAAGACTTTGACAGCAACTACAGTGCATAGCGGTAGAAGTCATTGGCTTTGGAGGTCTTGCTTTTCGTAGTCATTGGCTTTGGCTTTGGCTTTTTGTAGAAATAAGAGATGAAGTCTTACTTTTTGTCATCCATTCTATTTTTTCTTATGATGCGACTTCTCCGTCTTTGCACCATCCCCAACTTCACGCAAACGTCTTTTTTGTCTCTCTCTTTAACAGTTTAACCTCATAAAGAATTTCTCTTTCTCTCTCTCTTTATCTTTTCCCTCTCTCTCTAAGTTGTAACGCAAGGAATATGTCTTGAAAGTTGCATAATATAAGAAGAAAAAGAGCGCACAAGATAATATAAAGGGTGTGGTTTCCATAAGGTTGCAACCTTAAGCAAGCGTACTTCTAAATTTTATCATAATTTTCCTATAAAAAAAAATCTAAAGATTATCTCAAAATCTATTTTCATCACTAATTATAAAATTTTAAACTTTACAAAATAGTTAAAATCAAATAGATTTATAAATATTTGAAAATCTTGAAAATTGACAGTCTAAATAATTTCTAAGACTCAAAATCTTTTTTTTTCTTTTTTTTTTCATATTCATATATCTCGATGTCAAGATTATCAATTAGAGGATTTTTCGACTTTAAAAACAACCTTGTCCAATAGATTTTTGAAGTGCATATTTAATTCTACATTTTAAGATTTCGAGCTTTTTCCTAATATAAATCTCAATATTGAACATAATGGGCGGGTGCTCCACACTCTCTCTCACTGTTTGTTTAAGTCGTGTTATATTTTTGCATTTATTCTATCTACTTAATCCTCATTCTATCTCCCTTCCCTTCAAAAGTTATTATCACCCTCTCTCTCTCTCAACCACGTCATTCCTAATCGTTGTAATCTAACAACTAAGAGCCTCTCTCTCTCTCTCTCTCTACTTAATTTCTTATCTTTA